GAGCACACCTGGGACCTCAGATCCAGGCTCCCTGCCCCTCCTTTCTGGAGCTGCAGATTTGCTCTTTCCTCTTTCTGTCCTCGTGCTGTGGCTCTGTCACCTCCTTCCGTGTGAGCCGTGGGACTCAGCATGCCACTGCCCTTAGCCTCCATGGCTGAGCCTGGGTGCTCTTGGAACAGGCTCCATGCCCAGAAGCTGGCAGACATGGGTCTCTCCTGGAGCCATCCAGAGGGCATAGAGCTCATGGTTTATGGTATAGGGGCTGGGAGCTTGGAGGGCATTGTGTGGGGCTGGACTCTGAGGAGGCCAGAGGTCTAGGAACGTCATCCTGGGCACTCCATACCGGTCGTGCAGTCTGAGTCATGCTGCCAGGGCAGGGCATCCAGCTCCCAGCCTGGGAGTGCCGAGCGATCACTGCAGAGCAGGGTGATAGTCAGGAGTCCACCCTCCTCTATCTGTCGGCAATCCAGTGATGATCTAGGATAAAACCTTAAAGTCCCATACACATGGTCATCCCACAACACACCTCACAGGCCAGGCAGGGACACGCCCACTTCCCATCCTCCCAGGTACCATCACCCAGCTGCTAGTGTGTGACCGAAGGCAGGGTCCTGGCCCAGCTGAGAAGCATTACCACAGGCCGTGGCTCACACACGCCCGGCCAGTTGCTCTAGGGTCACCTGTGCTATTCAGCCAAGCAGGACCACAGTGCCTGTTGGCCCAGCAAACTCTGCCCTGGCGAGCCCACCTGCCTCTCCTGCCATAGACTTTCCCTCTTCTGCTTTTCCCAGCAGGAAGGGCCCAGCCTCACCTATGAAACCTGCAGCCCCCCCGCCCCGCAACCAGTTGAGGCTCCCGTCTTAGACTTATAAGTCTATGGCCAGTGGCATCCAGCTACCTGCCCTCCTGCCTTCCCCAGGGAGTCCCTTCAGAGGACCCTGGTCTTTTCTGACCACCCAGAGGGCCTCTGGCACTCACTCCAGCCATCCATCATATGGCTTCACCACTTTGGTTCAAGCAGTGTTCCTTATCAGGCCAGGTGGCAGTTGGGTGGGGCTCCCCAAACAAGAGGTGCCCCTGGGCCAGTGGGTTGGAAGACAGGGTGACCAGAGAAGGGGGAAGCCCGAGGGGGTTGAGCATTGGTCTGAACTGTGGGTGCACTGCCTGGAGTGCCATGGAGTGAGGCCAGCATGTGTGGGCTGGGGAGGGCCACCACATCCCCCAGGCACCACCTGTGAAGCTCTGGCTCCTCCCTCCATCTTCCTCCCCTTTCCTTCCAGCCCTTTTCCAGGAACCTTTGCCACACCCGCACCTGTGCCCTCCTCCTGGCCCTCCCACCCAGCTCCTGTAGTGCGCCAGTGCTCTGTGCTTGCCTCACCAGCTCTCTGCTTGCTTTTCTCTCTCCTCTTGCTCTACTTCTCTCAACTGCCAGCTGATTAGGTCAGGCAAATCCACCCCATCCTGAGAGCCCCAGCCACACTTTGACCTCTAAACAGATCCTCCTCTTCTCGGAGGCCTCCCTTTCCAGGCCTGCTGGTGGGTCTCCTGTGACTTGACAGTGGCTCACGCAGCCCCAAAACCCAGCCCCTTCATCTGTGATTTAGTCTGTTGTAGTGCTGAGTTGGCTTACATCCAGGTGTGACCGTTGCTGAAAATTTGTGCCCCCTTCATGGTGACTATGCCCTGCCCTGTTCTATAAATAGCTATAAATACTCTGTGGTACGCCCTGCCCTGTTCTATAAATAGCTATAAATACTCTGTGGTACGCCCTGCCCTGTTCTATAAATAATATAAATACTCATATATGAGCAAGCATGGGAGTGCTGTGCAGGCAACCGGTGGCCTGACAGTCTCTACCAGTCCTGCCATCCCTCAGCTGAGAATCAAACCCATTTCTGGGTGGCGGGGAATGTGTCCTCTGCTGGCTGTGTTCTCTGTGGAGTTCAGGAGGGAAAGGCCAAGTCATTTCTAGGAGTGCTATTGGGAGTAGTGAAAAGCCTTTCAAGGGGACACTTTTCCTGGAAAGCCCCTGGAGCTTAGCTGGCTCTTATCCCGTGAAGCAGGCTCTGGCCACTAGGGGGCAGGGCACGCAGACTCAGCCTGGAGCCGCAATGGGACAGCCAGCACTCTGGAGGGACAGACAGAACAGGCCACCGGATGCAGACAGGAGAGGGAGACAGGGGATGGAACGGAAGACGCCTGGGGTGGATGGAAGTCAGTGGCCTTGGGTGCTGGTGTCTGTCTTCCTGGCCACCGCTAGATTAGGCTTCTAAGCCTGTTGGCTGTCAGGGCTAGAAGGCGCCATAGCAGGCCCATGAAATTCACCAGGTGTCACCAGACCTTGATTAACAGGCCTGGAAGGTCCCCAACAGCTGAGCTGGACATGCTCAGACACTCTGGGGCTCCTCGTTCAGAGTGACACAAACTCAGGACCCAGTGAGAGGCAGGAACCCACCAGGCTGTGTGGTATGGCTAAATCCATTTATTCCAAAATGAAAGCAAAATAAACAGGATTTGCATCACCAAAGGAAGGCAGGACCCCATCCCCACCTCCTTCCTCTGTCCTGGTATCAATAAATCAGTTTCCCAACTGTAAATAACAGATTAGAATCTCCTCCCATATGCCAGCTCAGCCTCTGCTACGTATGATGCAGGGGGTGGTCCTACAGAATATAGTGTTACTGAATACTATAGGTACACTGGGGAAGAGGCCACCCCAGCAGCCCGTGCCCTCGCCTGCTCTACACTTAGCCCTATTGTCCTGCCTCAGGTGCCTCTCTGAATAAGAAGATGGGAGCCCCCCTGAGGGAAAAGTTGCTTTAATTGAGAGTAGAGGCCATCAGGCCTCCTCCAAACAAACCAATTCCACCAGCCTCTGGCTCTTAAATAACAAACATCACCATCCAGAAATTTAAGGACTCAGCCCTGGTCAAGGTGGCAAAGGGTCTGTCACCCTCCATTAGATGGGGTCTTGTCTTGCTACCTAATGGTAAAGGGGTGACTTTGAGAAGGGGGTGGTTAGTACATGGTGGGGGCAGAGACTCCAGCCCCACTTCTCTAGGGTTATGCTGACAGGGGCCTGCTTTTATTTTTCTCCCATGACTTTTTTAAAAAAATTCCATGACTTCCTTGTCATAACTTTTAAAAACATGTTTCATAAAACATTTTTCTACTTTTTTCCACAACTTCTTTTGCCACAACTTTTCTACATTTTTCATCCCAATAACTTTCTCATCCCACTTTTAAAATTCCCATAACTTCTTTTTAGTTTGTGTCCTTTCAATAAACACACTTGCATAGCTTTAATTTTTGTAAAACTAAAATCCGATGATCTCATGCCAAGCGTGCCCAGGATTTGCACACTCAATACTTTTAACAACATAGTTTTCAGACACAAAATTTGAAGGCAAAAACAGCACTTTGCAACAATTTCCTAATTTATTACATTACAGTAGCATCACAGTAGCAGTCAATAATGGCACTTTGGGCAGCAGTCTTTCAGTATTTCCATTATACATTCTGTTGACGGGAATTCATAAATTGATAAAAGTCATTCTAAGAAAACTTGACAAATAAAGCTGGTAAAAGTCATTCTAAGAAAACTTGACAAATAAAGCTTTGGACTGGAATTGACATCTCTTTCTCTACTTTTCCTTCCCCCAGTTTCTTTGTTTTAAACTACAGTATTCATATTTTAAGATGTTTTAACTTATTTCACAACATTAACATAGCAGTTATATTTTTCAATAGTTATATTATTTTAAAGTGACTCTGTAAGATAAAGGTTTAGAGAAAGTATTATGGATAGGGCTGAGTTACATTTTCACATTTTACTAAAAATCAGCTTTGGTTTTAGAGCTGATTTTTTTCATTTCTGAAAAATCTATCAGGTTTAATCAGATACTCTAAAAATAATGACCATATATTGCAATCTTTAAATATGTATTTTGATTCCTTAGTTCCTACAGAAATTCATATTTATTCAGTTGAACTCACACTTTAAAATTCTATATTTCTGATGAACTCTAACCTTCTAATGTTGCCTTCTAAGCAAATTGAAAGCTGCCTTATACTGAATAAGAAAGAGAACAAGTACTTGGCTGAATGAGGTATCACAAGAGACTGTATGCACTTCGAAGACTTAAGTTATTGTCATAGGATTTCCATTCTTTCTAGCTTTTTCGGAAACATAGGACAAAATATCTACACAAAGAGTGGTATTTTGGTTAATGCAGTACATTTCTTTTCCAGACTGACATTCAGCTTCGACATGCCAGTGTGTGATTTCACCCATAGGTACCTGATGAGCACATTATTGTCAGATTGGTTACAGATGCTAAACGTGATCTGAAGGACATTCCTAGTCATTTATATTTATCAGGGCAAAAGTGAAGTGATTTGAACTATGAAAATTCCTTGAAATAATTTATCAATGTATTAGGTAAGCCCAGTTTCAGAATGATAAAGAAAAACTGTTAGACCAAATAAGGTGGCTAATTAACAGTGGTACAATTTCTAGCCCGAGGGTTTAAAATGGACTTAAAGTAACTGTCTTTCAGGTGAACTCAAATAATGCAAAAGTGGCAAGTTCACAAAATAGAAGGCAAGAACAGGACCTTAAGTCCATTTTACATACTCGGGCTAGAAATCGTACCACTGTTAATTAGCCACATTATTTGGTCTAACAGTTTTTCTTTATCATTCTGAAACTGGGTTTATCTAATACATTGATAAATTCATACAATTTGGAAGAGTCAGTAGAAGTCACAATGACCCAATATTTGCACTCTTTCAGTGAATGCAGGCAAATCTGTTATTCCATCTGTAAAATCATATTATTGCTCTCCTATTAATGTCATATTTATAAAAGTATCATGAGGATGTCAAATGCTGAAAATGGAGATGATCTAGTGACTAGAAATGCCCACCCCAGGGAGCGCACACACATCTCTCCCTACATCCTAATAATGTGACATATTTTCGAACATAGACATTAGAACTTCATGAAGTTTTAGCTGTTGATTCCTTCCCAAGCATCATAAAGTTACAATTTAGGTGATGTATGACTGAAATAATTCATTCATCATGTATAGGCACATGAACATAAATATGGCAAAAAATATGCCTCTAACTGATACTAAGAGGTACAAAAACCTATTTCACTCTTCGTAAAGAACTTTGTGAGGAAACATAACTCTGTGATTTGTAGACACTTTTCCTCATAATACTTTGACTTTCACAAACAGTAGATTGTACTGCAGTCTGTAAACATTTTAAGTTGCATAAACTTCTCCTTGATTTTCAAATATAATACTGTCTACTAAAACTCCTTTTTGTTTCAACTAAGTACTGTTACATATATTAGTTTATGATAATGTTTGTTATTTTTAAAGTATTTTCCATTCAAGGACAAGAAGTAAATTCCTATTTCAGAGTAACCAGTGTGGTTGAAGAATAGGTATTAGCCAGAGAGGTCTAGATGGTAAAATCAGTCTTCTAGCCTCAAAGAAGCTCCATGAACATAGAGGAATGCCAGGTGTCACACAGCTTTCCTTCACTCAAATTCATTCTTGACTAGAGCCTGTATGCCTGTTCCAGGGACATTTAAACTCTGAAAGGATTTCTTATGATCTTTACTAAATACACTAAGAAGGATGCCAAGCAGTGACCTTTTGTGTACTGTGACATGTAGTCATGTGATTAAAACAGGTAACATGAACTCTGACTTTAAAATGTATTGTAGATATAAATGCTCTAGGCTGGAAAAGGTTTTCCACATCCACAGTCAATGATGGGAGCCTTTCATTCCTCAGAAAGAATACCTTTTTTTTAAGTCATCGAGAAAGAGTACAACTGCTGCAGCTCATGATGCAATATCTTCATGAGCCCAGAGCACATACAAATCCTAAGGGAACTACCATAGTACCGCGCTCATTCTTGGCACCAGAACAAATGAAACACACTCTATCCTGCACACACCTGCCAGAGCAGGCCACTTTCCTCTTCTGTGAGATTTAAAAAGCTCCCCAAAATGTTATTACTCCCATCCCCAATACACAGAAAATAGGGGAAAAGCTGTTTCCAGTTCTCGGCCTTTAAACAACTCTAAATGTCAGTACTCACAGGGGCATATTACAAAGTAAGAAACAGTGCGCACTTGAGGGCAAACCACATATTGAGCTAATGAAGAGCTCACTGTGATTAGGATTCGATCAAACATAATAGCAGAACATAAGCAAATTTTATCTGAATTCTGTAATGAATATACATGCTGCAATAACATTTAAAAAGCATAGCAGCTTATTCCAAACCAGTAAGAATAGTTTTGTGCAAATAGTGAGTCTTTGTGTGTTTGAACTCCCACCACATAAGGGCAAACTCGGTATGTGAGCTAATGACCCACAATTATCAAATTAAAAACAAAAATGTTGAAGGAAGCCAGAGTGAACATCAGGGAAAGACCCACTCTCCCTTAACTTTCTACAAATAAATTTAAACTGTAAATTAGAAACATAAATAAACATGAGGAGCTCTAACATTTAAATGAAGTAAATGAATTGTGTAGGAGATTAACCCCATAACTTTTGGTTGTTGTTTTTTCAATTTCTTGACCAGCTCTTAGATGATGATGATGTTGATCTCCCTGTTCTCCGCTGCCCGGTAAAAGAATGGGATGCAGGGTTTGCTGGCCAAGCCTGAGTGCTCCTGGGTGTCCTGCATTACAGGAAGCAGCTGCAGGATCTTCTGTGCAGTGGGGTTGTCATGGGGAGAACCCTCCCTGGCCTCTCTCGGTGCAGGCTCCACGCTGTCCACCACGGTCACCTCATAAAAATCTTTGGAGAGAGGCAGGTGGGAGTCTGAGTGCAGTGCGAGCCTCCCCTGCTTCTGCCTGCCCACCCCGCCTGAGAGCTCTACTCACCACGCTGCTCCTCCGCAGCCCCAAGCTCCTGGGGGGCTGGGGCCCCTGGAGCGGGCTCATCAGCAGGGTTCTGGGCAGCAGGGAGGAATTTGTCATGTCCCTCATGGTCACCCACAAGTGTCAACAGCAGCTTCTACAGCTCCAGTAGATTCGCCTGAATGGAGGGGTCCTCAGCTGCCATTCTGGATCCAGTGCCAGTGCCCATGCCGACCCCCACCCCCGCAAAGATGTTGCATGTCCTACCTTCATCTCCTCCTTGTTCTGGTCCAGCCTGATGATATCCTCCATCTCCTGGTGCCGCGTGTTTTGCACTGCCCCTTGGCTCCCTATACGGTGATGTACTCTCCTGCAAGAGGACAGGGCTCAGACGCTGGGGCCCCCCCAACAGCCCTGCAGCTCCCCGTGCCCATGCTGTGGCCGCCCGCTCACTCATGCCGTCTGTTGCTCCAGAGAGCTGGATGAATCCAAGCTCTAGGTTCTCCACCTGTTCCTTCCTGTCCACCTTCTCCTTTAGGAGGTCCATAAAGCCACTCTGGAGCCAAAATAATCTGGTCATATCTCAGGAGTGACCTCTCCTGCCCCACCCCCACTTTTCTTGGCCCATGCCAGGACTCGCTCATCTTCAGCTTCTCCATGGCCCCCTGCAGGGCCCGGTAGCTCTCCCCACACACAAACTCACCCCCAGTCCCTGGGGCCGGGGCCTCTGCCTCTGGCTCCTTCCAGACCGAGGCCACCAGGTGAGCCAGGTGCAGGCAGCACAGCCTTCACACCTTCCGCTGCCCACATAGCCGCGCCTGCTCCTCCTGGGCACTGGCTCCAGCGGAGTTGAAAAATGCCACTTGAAGGCAAGAGCTGAGTATTCTTGTAGGGGCATACACAGAATAAATGGGGCAGGGAGGTGGAGCACAGCCCCTTCCCTTGGGGCCTCAGAGCATGCACCTGTTGGTCACAGGTGAAGTGGTGTCTGACCACTGGCTCCCAGAAGGGGTGAAGGTCCAGAGAAATCAGAAGGCGGGGAAAGCAAGAGCACAAAGGACCACAGGGACCACAGAGGAAGGTGGCAAAGCGGGCGCAGGGAAAGTCAGACTCACCGTGGCCTCCGGCTCTCCAGGTCCTCTGGGACACTCGGCATAGGCCGAGGCACCCGCTCCTCCTCAGTGTTCAGATGTCCTCCTCCATCTCCTGTGGGGAGGTGGCCAGAGGGGTCCTCAGAAAACCCAACAAGGGAAGTACTGTGGGCCCACCTCTGTCCCTACCCTCACTGTGTAACCCTGAGCCAGCCCCTCCCCAGAGGGGAATGAGCTGCTGTTCTTTATTTTTCCTTTTAAGAACTGAGATCTTGCTATATTGCCCAGGCACAGTCCCACTACCAGTTGGTGCGGGAGTTCTGACCTGCTCCCTTTCTGATCTGGGCCAGTTCACTCATCCTTAGGCAACCTGGTGGCCCCCTGCTCCCAGGAGGTCACCAGATTGATGCTGAACTTAGTGCAGACACCCGGTTGGCAAAATGACCAGATGTTCTAAAGGTCTCTTCCAACTCCTCGATCCTATGCTGCTAACAGTCCCCCTTCCTCCTGGGGCTCTCTCCTCTTCCTCTGAGGGTCTCCTGTACCTTCTCCAGGGAGAGCCATGAGGCTCATCTGGGTATCTAGCTGTTGGTTCTGCTGGCTGGCAGCTTCTAGGTGCTCCTAAGGGGACGGGAAACAGAGTGAGAAGGCACAGAGGTTGCCAGGTCGTCCCCTTCGGGGGCCCCGTCCTCAGCAACTCACTCCCCTGGGTCTCCTGCAAATTTTGGCAGGCCATCTCAGCCACCGCTTTGCCCTGAGCTTCCTGCTGCTGCAGCTGGTCCATGAGCTGGGTCTGCAGCAGTAACTCCCTGTGCAGCGCCTCCTTCTCGGAGGTCAGCTGCTGATAGGTGACCACGTACTGCTGCAGGTGACCCAGGTACTAGTATCGCTGCTGCTGCAGACTCTGAGATCCTTGGCTCTTCAGCTCCACCTGCAGGAAGACCCTGGGCAGGAGGGCACGTGGTGGCTGGCTTCCAGATTCTGGGCCCATTAATAGGGTAACGAGGGCACTGTGGGGGCTCTATCACCTGCCCAGGCCCCTGGCCTCTTGCTCCAGGCCTAAGAGACTTCCCCCATTGCCTAGAACCCCATGCCTCCTTCCCCAGCCTCAAATCTCATGTCTTCTTCCCACCATTTAAACTGTAGGCCACAGGCTGGTGGAAAAGCAGAAGGAGCCAACCACCATCTGCTAAGTGTGCTACAAGCCTAATGCTTTCCATGTATTCTCTCATTTAATCCTCAGCACCTCTGCAAGGAAAATGCTAACTTCCTTTTGAAGCTAAAGAAACAGAGTTAGAGATGAAAAGTAGCCCAATGGTCACCAGTGGGACTGAGGCCAGAATCCAGTTTGAATCTAAGGAGGCTTTTTTGTTTTGTTTTGAGACAGAGCGTCACTCTGTGGCCCAGGCTGGAGTGCAGTGGTGCAATCTCAGCTCACTGCAACCTCCACCTCCCAGGTTCAAGTGATTCTCATGCCTCAGCCTCCTGAGTAGCTGGGATTACAGGCATGCGCCACCATGCCTGGCTAATTTTTTGTCGTTGTAATTTTAGTAGAGATGAGGTTTTGCCATGTTGGTCAGGCTGGTCTCTAACTCCTGACTTCAAGTGATTCTCCTGCCTCAGCCTCCCAAAGTACTGGGATTACAGGGATAAGCCACCATGCCCAGCATAAGAAGCCTCTTATACCACTGTCTCTTCCCCTGTGATTGGGGGAATCCATGCCTCTAGCTGGAATGATAATGTCCAGACCTGGGAGGAGCCCAGGGCTACCCACCTCTAAAAGTCAGAGGGCAGGAAGAAAGAAGCAGACATAGGGCTGCCCTGGAGGCTGCTGGGGTCACTTGCCCCGCAGTTGGAGCTGCCTTTGGCCTGGCACCTCCCCTCCCCAGAGGCTGGTACCTGCCTCCCAGCCCTTCTTGGATGGGGCAGAGGTTACCATCTCCTTCACCTCACTCAGCTTCTCCTGCAGCTCCTTTACTTGCTGCTCCAACTGCAGTGCGCTCTTGTTCTTATTGTTCTGGACAGAGAGAAGCAATCAGTGGCCAGCCACTGCAGCTGGAGAACCCTGAACTTGGTGTTTGTCTCCCATGTCAGCAGGAAGGGTGTAGGCAGGTTAGAAAAATCATCCCCTCTCCCCCACAGCCATCAGAGCAGGGCCTCCCAAGTAGCTAGAAAGAACTCTTTCAAGACTGGAATATTCCATTTAAGCAGTCATCATATCCATCAGTGAAATGTTATAATCAGAATCGGCACTTACACAAAAGCTACGGACGGAGGAGCGATTTAAAAACAAACAAGGATTACTCGGGAAGAAATTAGCTTAAAAAGGAATTGAGTATGATTTTCCTCTTTGATTTTATAGAAAACAGAAAGTATTTCAAAAACAAATTGTCAGACATGTACAAAGGCCAGGTTTTACGTAAGAAGAAGAAAAAGGTTTTAAGTATTCCTGACACTCCTGAGAAGACTGTGGATACCCAGGGCCCCACACCACTTTGTACATTAACATTTTTGGAGAGACGAAAATCTGAAGTGGCTGAAATGAATGATGATGATGAAAATAATGAAATAGTTTTCAAACAGCCCATATCCTCTGTAAAAGAAGAAATACAAGAGACTGAAACACCTACACATTCACAGAAAAGATGAAGAAAGAAAAACCAATCAGGGATTTTCAATGTATTAAACCTAAGATTTCTTCTGAAAAATATTTTTGTGAGAAAAATACAGAAAATTCGTCGGGCGTGGTGGCCCATGCCTGTACTCCCAGTGTAGTGGCCCTCCCAGCTATTCAGGAGGCTGAAGGGGAAGGATCACCTGAGCCCAGGAAGTTGAGGCTACAGTAGCCATGGTCATGCCACTGCACTCCAGCCAAGTCAAGTCATTACATTTATCTTAACCTATTCTATGCTGGCTTAAGAGGGATTTGTATTAAGAGTACAATAGGCAACCTCACAGATATCTAAGTACAGAACTGAAAATAGGACCACACCATGGAAGGATTGGGCTGGGAGGTTATTTTTCCCTCCTGCAGTCCTTCATTCTGAACTTCTGCTCCATGCTTGTGCTTTGCTCTACAGATAAGCATTCGGCATGTGCTCCGGGCTCCTCCAGCCTCTGAGGCTTTGGCTTGCCCTGGCAGTACCCCTGGTCCCAGTGTTACTGGACATTTCCATATAGATGCTCCTCTGCAAAAAATCTATTGAACACACTCTGTATCATTGCCAATGAGCAGGAGAGAGAATCTGATCTGCCTAGCAGTGGGGGTGGGAGTTCCCTAGTTGTCCCTGGATTTGTAGTGCTGCCCTTTCCAGAGACTCGAGGAGGGGCCAGATATCCAAAAAGAGGGTGCGGGTGGGGAATCAGTAATACAGTCTACTTCTACTAGAAAGTATAAAGTAGAGGCAGTGGCTCACGCCTATAATCCCAGCACTTTAGGAGGCTGAAGCAGGTGGATCACTTGAGCTCAGGAGTTTGAGACCAGACTGGGAAACATGGAGAAACCCCATCTCTACTAATAATACAAAAAATTAGCTGGGTATGGTGGCACATACCTGTAGTCCCAGGTACTTAGGAGGCCGGGGTGGGATTATTGCTTGAGCCCAGGAAGTAGAGGCTGCAGTGAGCCGAGATCATGATGCCACTGCACTCCAGCCTGGGCGACAGAGTGAGACCCTGTCTCAAAAAAAAGAAAAAAATATATAAAGTGGAAGCATCTGTATGCATGATTGAAATCATGCTTTCCATCTATTTTTTTTCCACCTTTCCTTTTCTCTCTCAAACACTGTATCTTAAGCTTTTCCCTATGTTATCAAGTACTCATAAGCATTATTTGAATGGTTGTATCAGAATCCATTATCTGAACTCATTTTCATTTATCCATCTGCAGTTGCTGGACCTACTGCCCTTTCTGCCACACTCAGTCACCCTTCTGACTTTACACTGTGTCCAGTTATCTACTAATACACGCACTGGTCATTTAGGACTTAAAGTTAAGAATAGTTATCATGGTTTCTAACACTTCAAAAAGAATGTATCTTCCTAAAAATAGAATGGCTTGGTGGTTATGATAATTTTAAAGCAAAATAGACAAATCAATATTGAAATTAATGTTTTATTCTTATATCTATTTTTCACTTCTCTGTCATTTTGATGGATACAGTTTCATTTGGAAGAATTTTTATTTCAAAACAGAAACAGCATATGACATGAGAATGGGAACTCTGAAAGGTTCAGTTTTCTATTTCTAGTTTACTAAGTTTGTCACAAAAGCTACTGATAGTCAATCATGAGTGGCCTGTATTGAAAGTGAGTTCACATTATGTACATCTTAAGCACTATACTTTCTATCAGATATAGAAAAATAGGTGGTGTGTTTGGAAAAGTATTCGGTTAGAAGTCAGGAAGCTTGACTGTTAGTCCCAATCCTGCTTCTTCAGCTGAGCGCCCCTAGGCAGTAATTCAGCAGCTATTTCTTAAATACCTAATGAATTTCAGGCTTTGTAGTTGGGCTGGGAATATAGACATAGATACTGCATTCATGATTCTCCAAGGCTCCCTTCCTCACCCGGCTCACAGTGAGCTTTCTTATGCATTGTGTAAATCTGTCTCCTAACAGGCCCCTACTCTGTCTCCAACCTGCTTCCCAGGGCAGTTGTGAGGATCAAATGAGGGAGAATATGTGTGAAAGCAAATTCTAAATGATTTTAAAATGCAATAAAAGTATGACCCATGAAAAATTATTTAAAGATCCTTAGAATTTTAAATAAATAGTACATTAACCTGAGTTCTCTATGGTTTTTATTTTAAATAGGTATGAAAGTTTTACAATGGATCACCAATGTGGTTGAAAATCCTGGCTTGATTTTTCTCCAAGAAAATGACACAGTGGTTTGTGTGATTAATTTTGTAAAATTGCCGGCCAAAAAAAAACAAAACCTCTTTTGAGCTGAGTGACTGGATCAGTCAAAGGCACGTTGACTGTATAATGGAGAAATCTTTTCTGTGTTCACTAACTGCTTGCCTTTGTTTGATTCCAGTTGCAGCATATCATGAGTGATGAGATCTGTGTGCAGGTGGCTGACCTTTACCTGGCAGAAAATAATAATGGGGCCACCGGAGGCCAGCTGAACACACAGAACTCAAGGAACCTCCTGGAGTCAACATATCAGTGGAAAACTAAGCAGCTAATGTCGGATGAGAATTGCTTTGAGAGTTAATCCTGTGGTCAAAGACCGACCTTGCTGGTGACAATGTAAGTTGTTAGGATTCTCTGAACCAGAAGTTAAAGCCGGGGTACTTTGACCCGTGATTCTACTCCTGGACCTTTTGATGAGTTCACCAAAGAAATATAAAGTGGGAGTAACTATCTTCCTGGACAATCTACTTTCTTTCTTGCCTTTAACAAAAAAACAAAACAAAACAAAACTAGTTATATATGATTTTTACAATTTTGTATTCTTTTTCTCTGAACATTTTTCATAGTATGCTTTGTAAATATTATTGTTAGAAAAATGTTGGTACATGAAATCCATGGTCATGGTCATTATAGAAAAGAAGACAGGCCTAGCACACACGGCTCACACTTGTAATCCCAGCACAACGGGAGGCTGAGGTGGGTGGATCACACGAGACCAGCTTGGGCAACATGGCAAACCCCATCTTTGCAAAAAATACAGTAATACAAAAATTATCTAGGTGTGGTGGTGTGCGCCTGTAGTCCCAGCTACTCAGGAGCCTGAGGTGGGAGGATCACTTAAGCCTTGGAGGTCGACATTGCAATTAGCTCTGATCACATCACTGCACTCCAGCCTGGGTGACAGAGGTGGCCCTATGTCAAAAAAAAAAAAAAAAAGAAAGAAAGAAAAAGAAAAAAATGCAGATAACCAAAAAAGTCACCTTAGAATTCTTTCCTGAAATCACCATTGATGACATTTCTAGACTTTTCTATGCTTGAGTAAATATTTTGAAAGAGTTTATACTGTACAAACAGTCTTTAACTTTTTTATTTTTTGAGACAGGGTCACGCTTTGTTGCCCAGGCTGGAGTGCAGTAGTGAGATCTTGACTCACTGCAACCTCTGCCTCCTGAGTTCAAGCAATCATCGTGCCCCAGCCACCCTAGTAGCTGGAATTACAGGCATGTGCCACCACACCAGCTAATTTATGTATTTTTGGTAGAGATGTGTGTCAGATCCCGGGGTCCAGGTCTAGTCCATGCTGAAGTCTGAGGAAAGTGGGTGGGTGAGCGGAAAGAACACTCAAGGGAAAGAACATCAGGTGAAAGACAGTTTTATTCAGCAGCAGCTCTCTTTAACAGCTTCCTTACATTAGCCCTCTTATTAGCAGCTTACCATTCACTCTGTCTTGGCGGCTTGAGCCAGCTGCCCCGACGCACAGCTGTGCAGCCGGCTTTCCCTCACCTTCACGGTTAGCAGCTTAACTCTTTCTCCCGGCATGAGCAAGCCCAGTTGTGTCCTGGCTCCCTCCCATCCATCTGCAAGACGGACAGCTTTTGTTCGTTCTCTCTTTCTCTGGGCGCCAGTGCGCCTGCCATGTCAAGCTATGTTGAGCCGAGACCAGCCAAGCCCCCAAGAGCCATATCTCTTATGCACAACGTCAATAGGGCAGTTATACCTTTTACAGATAATAGTGGCATAAAGCCAAGTATGAACTTACACAAACAGGTTATATTACAAGTGGAGGTGTGCGTTTGCACAGCAAACCGGTGAGTCATGCAGGCCTGGATATCTGTCTCAGCTTATTCCTTGACCAAAGCACATCCATGTACCTTACAATGTGGTTTCACCATGTTGGCCAGGCTGGTCTCAAACTCCTGGCCTCAACTGATCTGCCTGCTTCAGCCTCCCAAAGTGCTGGGATTACAGGTGTGAGCCACTGCATCTGACCTGAAATGGTCCTCAACGTATTTTTGCTCAATTAGCAACACTTCCGGATCTTTAATGTCTTTTTTACGGCTATTTGATATTCACTTTTTAGAGAATTAATGCCTGTATTATTGGACATTTAGGTTGTTTCCAATTTTTCACCATTATAATGGATAATTATAAAAGCAAATAGTTGGAAACAACCTAGACACCCAACCCATTGTGGGGATTGGTTAATGACATCCTGTTATGAATACTGG